CAGAAGCCAGAGGGGCTGACCTCCGGGTCTCTGGCCATCTGTCCCCACTGCCCTCTGGCCTGGAGGTCAAGCCCAAAGTCCGACTTCACTTCTGAGCCTCCCCTGGGGTGTCCTGCCCACTGGGGCACCCAGCTCTCTGCCAGGCTCAGCAGGCCCTGTGTCCCAGCGTTCCGCCCGCCCCCCCCCCCCCCCAGGGAACTGGGGAACCGAGATGGTGGTGCTTACGAGGTGACTGATTCATGAAGGGGCCTCCATTCAGTCTGTCCCCAGAAGCCCTTGCCTTGCAGGTGGAGGGTGGCCTCGAGGGAGGGCAGGGTCTGTGCCCAGGGGAGAGGACAACCCCAGGGAGAACCTCAAGGGAAGCAGGCGGGGACCAGCACTGCCCACCAGCACCCCGGGAGCCGGTTCTGTCGCTCCTGCCTTAGCAAAGGGGCCGCAGTGCCGCTGGGGGTGCAGGGAGAGGATGATGGTGAGGGAGCAGCCCAGGAGTGGGGTGACCTTGCGCTCCCACGTCCCCCGCCAGACTGAGAGCTCCTCCTCCCTGGGTCGGCCTTGGTGTCTGCGCCCCAGTCACCAGGGCTGCTTCTCGCTAACGAGGTCAGCGCCCTCTCTGACACCTCTGAGCTTGGCCAGGCTCCGCCTGTGGGCAGCATGAGGGTCAAGCTTTCTCGTTCTTCTGCTTATTTCATGAGCACCAAGGCTCCTCCTTGACAGGTGCTCCTTCCACTCTCCCCCTATCCCTGCGGCTGGCCCATCCTGGCCCGTGGCATAGCAGGCCCATTGCCAGTAAGAGCCAGCGGGGAATGGGTGGGCACGGCCAGCCGTGGCAGGGGAGCCAGTCTGAGTGATGCCGGGACGGTCGCATCTCCATCCCGGAATCTGCGGTTCTCTCTCATGGGATTGCGCACCCAGAGGTGACTTCCTACTCTTGCTTAGAGTTGCCGTCCGCAAGATGGGGAGACAGCACCCACCTCCCAGGTGCACAGAGCTCCTGGAGGACGTGCGGCCACAGTAAGATGATCTTTGTCGGCCGTCAGCCACGTACCTCGGAGCTGCTCCTCGTCCCAGACTTGCTCCGAGGCCTGCGGAGCAGCCTCTTTCAGAGCTTGCTCTTTCCACCATCCGAATCGGCCTGCTTCCACTAATGGGGGAGGGGGGGGGCAGCCTCGGGGGGGGGGCTTCGGGGGGGGCTCCCTTAGTTCCCCCCAGAGCCCCGCTCCGCTCCTGCAGAGCCCTGGCAGGTTTCTGGTGGGCTTTCTCCACAAGCCCAGCTCAGCTGCAGGACAGCTGCCTGACCTGGGGATCTTGGGAGTGAGGGAGGGTGGGGGTGGGGGGGTGAGGGGGGGCTTGCGGTCGAAGCTGGGCCACTGAGTCAACACGTTGGAAGTCCTCTCTGAAAACCCTGCGGCCTGTCTCCTCTCCCTCTCCTGGCAGCCCACCTGCATGGGGCGCCGTCTGTCCGGCACTGCATGGGCCAGGGCCCTCCCCCTCCCCACAGCGGCTCCTCGTGCTCCGTGTGCGGCTCCTCTCCCGACTCCCACGCTGAAGGGAGTCTTGGCTCTGTCACAACAGTTCCATCCCCGAGACCCCGTCTGGTTGGTCCCCAGCCCCCAACACATGCATGTCACCGTCCTCCTCGGCTGCAGGATCCGCCGCAGCTTCCCCTCCTCCCGGCGTGACACCCACACCTCCGTCCGCACCTCCGAACACCCTCTCACCTGCTTGCAGAGACCGTGTACTTCTTGATCGTTGTCCATATCTTTCCCCAAAAAGATTCCTCAATGCTTTTCTTTTCACAAGGGAAAAAAAAAGGAAAAAAAAAACAATGCCAACAGCCCAGCGTCCGTGAGCAACCCAACAGTAACAAAGCATGTGTTCGGGATGGAGGAAGGTAAGGCCACGCGTTTCCATTGCCGCTTGCTGCTAGGGCTGGGCGGCCGGGGTGACTCGAGGGGGCGGGGGGAGGGCGTGTGTGCACCCCTCCTCCACTCCCACACACGCTCACTGCTCTGTGTTGGGGGTTAAAGGCGGCATGTAGGAAAGAGGCCAGGACCGGCCAAACCCAGCCAGACCCTGGTTCTTTCACTAACAGTTCACGCTGAAAAAGCCCTCTCCCCTTACCACACCACTCATTCACCCATTCACCCCAGAAATGCCTGCTGCACACCAGCTATTTTCTAGGCCCGGTGGTTGGCACAAGGGATAGAGAGATAAGGCACAGCACAGGCCCCGGGGGCTCGCCGCCTGGATGGGGACACACCTGAGCAGATGTGCGCAGTGCAGCGCGGCCTGGCCAGCTGTGCCAGGGCAGCAGGACGGGCTCACAGGGCAGTGGACACTGTGCTCAGCTTTGGAGGATGAGTGAGCGGGTGGTCTGGGGGCTGAGGGAGCCTGGAGAGCGCTAAGAACTTCTCAAGTTCATTCCTTCATTTCCTCAATTTAGTGCCATTAGTGAGGTGAGGTCTGGGGCAGGCCACGGAAGGCCATCTATAGTGCTGCGGAGTTTAGGCCTTATCCTGGGCACCGTTAGGGGTCGAAGGTTTCTGAGCAGAGGAAGAGCAAGATGAGGTTTGTGCTGTAGACAGACCACTGGCTTTGGTGTGCTGGCGGGTTGGAGAGGGGGGTCTAGAGGTCAGGAGGTCAAAGGGGAAGGTACCCAGGTGGGAAGTGCAGGCCTCACCAGGCACTGGCAGTGGGGATGGAGAGGAGGGGCGAGGGAGAAGCCTGCCCGCTCCCATCGTGCCCAGGCCTAACTGGCGAAGAGACCACCTGAGCCAGGCAGCTCAGGCTACACCTGGGCTCCAGGAGCACTGCCCCTGCACTGTCACAGGGCCGGACGAGGTGCGTCTGCTGGGACTCGCGGGGTGGGGTCCCCGAGGCTGCAGGTGGGGGTGCTGTGGGCCTGTGCCAAGGGGCCGTGGGGGTGCCGCGCTTGGGCCCGGGCTCCGGCTCCTCGGCTTCCTTGGCAGTGCAGAGGTGTCAGCACTTCGCAGCGAGAGCGTGGGGCCTGTCCCCCAGCTCTGGAAAGGGGCCCGCCTTCCCCATCCTTGTGGCCTTTCCTGCTCCTTCATCTGGGGCTTTCTTCCTTGGGCCTGGTGTCCAGACCCTAAGGAAGCCCCTGCTTTTCTTGCTACTGACTGCCGGCGCTCACTCCTGCCCTCCTGGCCCTGCTGTCAGCGCCCCCTAGTGCCGGGATGGCTGTGCATGAGGGCAAGGGCCTCTGGAATCCAATGGGGGCCTCAGAGATCTCTCCCAGGCTCCTCCGCTTGCTTGTGGGAAAGCAGGGGATGGAGTGCGCTTTCTTGGAGTCCAAAGCTTCCCTATAGAAGCCCCAGGGTCGATTCTCTGCTTTCCCGTCCTCACCCTCTCTTGGCACAATGACCTGTACTCCCCAATGAGGGTGAGACCGAAGAAGGGGCAAGGAAGAAGAGAGCCCACAGAGTAACCATATTTCCCGTCCAGGTCTGGATAGCTCTTCCTCATCCCAGGAGTGGGCCCTCCAGGGCAGCCAGTGTCTCTTGGAGATCAGGGACCAGCGTCAGGCCCACTGCCTGTACCCACACTCCCCTCCTCTCGCCCCCGTCTGCTGAGAGGGTCTGGTGTCCGGCCACACCCTTCCAGATGTGGCTGGTGCAACCTGAAGGCCCCTCACACCTGGGCCCAGGTGCCTGCTCCGAAGGAGGGCACACAGACTCCCCCACCCCACCCTGCGGCGGCTGCTACTGAGCAGCCTCAGTGCTTTCGGGGTAGCCTGCAGCGAGTGGGGATCAGTGGTTAGTTCCTGGATGGCTGGTAATGGCCAGCCCAGGAGTAAAGGCCATGACCCATTCCTAACCAAAGCCAGCTGTGCTGCATGTGTGTGGCGGCGGGGGGCTGGGAGCGGGCGCAGGCTGGAGATAAAGGTCTCACGCCAGCCGGGACAAGTGGGACAGTCGAACATACCTTGCTGTTTCAAATGACTGTGTTGCAGTCCTGAGCTCCCGAGGCTCCCTCAGTCCAAGACAGGTGTCCCTTGGAGAAGGAAAGGTCACAGGTCACCACAGCTCTCAGAGTCCAACCAGGGATGTGTGTGACCACATCTCAAACCCCACTGAGGGACTGGAAGGAGATAGGAACTGGCCACTTTCAAAAAGCCACCCAGCAACTCCTCTTTCCTCGCACTCAGCACCCAAGGAAGTCTGTTCAAAGCCCACGACCCCGGTACCAGTCTTGGGTCAGGAGATGGTTGGGCAGTAAGGTGCCCACTGCTGAGGAGGTGGGATCAGCTGCAAGATGGCAGCATGACTGTGCCAGGCGGGGCCGGGAAGAGGAGGGGGCGGAGCCACCCTGCCTGCCTCCCAGGTCGACTCTGAGCATGGACATTGGGGGCAGGGAGACTCAGGAGACCTGGGGGCTAAGAAGAAGGAAGAAATCCTTTCTCCACTGGACCAGGCCCCTCTCAAACCAGGCATTCCCTCCTGCCAAAGACGAACCAGGGCCTGGCCAGCAGGCAGATTGCGTGGGCGAGAATGAATGAGCGAGTGGCTGAGCCAGGGTGGGAGCTCTGGGCAGGGGAGGAGAGGTAGGGACAGACCAGGCGGGGAAGCCGCAGTCCTCCTGTCCTGGCTTCTCCCCTCCTGCCTGACCTGTAGATCCAGGACAGGAGCCAGTCTTGGAGTCAGGGAGCATGCAGGCTGTGCATGAGTGTGTGTGCCGGCGTGGGCACACGTCCGCGGTGTGGTCCAGACCGATCGTCAGGGTGGTCATACTTCTGGCCTAAAGGGGTCCCACAAGGGAACAACCGGAACCCACCAGCCAAGGGAGCTGAGCCTCCCTCCTCCGCGGAGCCTCCCCGTGACCCGAGCTGCCACCTGTCCATCTGGGGAGCATGTGGGGATCCCCTGCAGAAGGATGGAAATGGACCCAGCTGGGCGCCTCCAGACAAGCAGCCCAGCCCAGAGTGAGCCCGACCCCATCCCCAGACCGCACTGACCGGGCCTGGCCCTCTCCTTGTCTTGCAGAACTTCAGCGAGAGGGAAGCATCGAGACTCTGAGTAACAGCTCAGGTTCTACCAGCGGCAGCATCCCAAGAAACTTTGATGGCTACCGATCTCCGCTGCCCACCAATGAGAGCCAGCCCCTCAGCCTCTTCCCCACCAGCTTCTCCTAGGTACCAGCTACCTGCTTCCGACTGGCCGGCCCACTCACCTGCTGGAGGAAGGAGAAGCCCCCCCTCGGACTCCCCCCTTCAGTCTCTGCTCCTCTTTCACAACCACCTTCCCCAAGCTTAGTGACAACAGCCCCCTCCCCGCCCCCCGCCCGATGGAGAAGAGACCCCTATCCAAAGCACCTCGGTGCCCTCTGACCCCGTCAGCAGGGCTGTGGCCGAAAGAGACTGCAGAAGCGCCGCCCCCTCCTGTTTGCACATGATGTCCGGCATTGGATCCGCTTTTGTATTTTCTAACCGGGGGTTGGGGGGGGGGGGGCCCTGGGTGGGGAGAGGATGGATGGCCTGGCCAGGCATTTCGACCCTGACCGCCAGCCCCAGCCCGCTCCTGCCTATGGCTCACACTGCCCAGCTTCCCTTGGTCAACTTCCCTCTGGAATGGGGTGAATGGAGGCCCAGAGTATTATGGGAGGAGAAAGGAAGGAGAAGCCCTCCTCCTCTTCCCTTTGGCTCATGGGAAGGATTTGTCTTTCTTGTCTATAAGCCCTTTTACACTGGTCCTGAACTGTTCGGTGAAGGAAACGGTGGTTCCTGAGACCCTGTCAAAAGTGCACGTCTTTCCAATAAATCATGCTGCAACTGGTGTCCACCGAGCTGCTGGGGGCAGGGTCCGCACCAAGCGCCGCCAAGCAGAATCCCGGGCCTGACCCTGGGTCCCTGCTCCCAACACCCCCGGCCTGACATGTGCAACTGAGGGGGAGTCATCGAGGGAATAGGGAGGAGAATGTTTGCCTTGGAATTTGGGTGGGGCCTGATTTAAATCCATTCTCCAACCTTCCTTCCTGTTAGCAGAGCCAGTGAGTTCTGGGGCCATCAAAGGCCTGACACTCCCTGTCTGTGGCAGGAGCAGGGGGAGCAAAAGGGGTGCTGAGCAGAAAGGATAATACTAGCCCTAGTCCCCACTTCGCTAGACCCCAGAGAGGCCTGGGAGGATCGAAGGAAACCTAATGAGCAGGTGTGGTTTGGGGTGAAGTTTAACGTAATAGCCACAATCAGGCCTTCCCATCCAACTCCTGGAGCCCCTGCCCCCTTCACAGGCGCCCTCTCCAACCCTAGCACCCAAGAAGAGACCAGTTGGGCATGTTAGGAGAAGGGGGACCTGAATCACACTAGGTTCTGGAAGCTGAGTACTTGGCCCTACATAGATAGGGTGGCTGGAGCCAGTCCCTTCTGCCTGGGAACCTGCAGGGTGAGAAATCACATGGCAGAGGGAGGCATGCGGGCAGGTCAGGAGGCCTGGACACAGCCAGCGGGGGCTGCTGGAGGAGCAGCAGCTTTTCCCCATTTGAGACATTGATGTGTCGGGCACAGCCTCCACCCAGAGCCAGAGCAGTGTTTCAGTTAAAAGGGGGTGGGGGGAGGGCTGCCATGAGGCTACCTGTGCATTCTATCCCTGGGCCCTGGGGGGGAGGGGGAGGGGGAGGGGGGAGTCCGGAGCTCTAGGGAGGGTGAGCCCCTGAGAACCCACCCTATGGCAATTGGATGGGGCCAAGATGGAGAGCCAGGGGCTCTCTCCAACCCTGCAGGGAACTTGGGAGTCAGGAGTCCTCCCTGGCTCAGCCCTTTCCCTCCACGGGGTGCAAAACAGCTGTGGCCTCCTCCAGTCAGGGAAAGTGGTGGGTGTAGGGCTGGACTTGCCGGCTGAGCTTGCAGGACAATCTGGTTATTCATCTGCTCACAGCCAGGGCAACTCTTTGAGTATGTGGGGGGAGGGGGAGGATAAGAGAGGCCAGATAAGCTGGCCCCATGGCGGCTGCCACTGGAGCTCAGGTTATCAGAGAGGCCTTGGGCCTGGCCCCTGACTAATTGGGGAGGTTATGGACCCTGCCACAGCCTGTAATCAGCTGGAAGTGAGAGCTGGGCTCCAGGGTGGGGGACCTTACTGCCCACTGGCCATGGAACAGCAGCCTCCTCGTCTCTGGAGAGAACACCTAAGGCAATCTCTGCCTCTGCCCCAGCAGACCTCCAGGTGGCATTACCTAGGAGGCAATCAGAACATGCATCTAATTGTGGCCTGACCCCATGACCTTGAGGAAGCCACGTGACCTCCCTGATTCTCACAGCACTACCTGCTCAACGGACAAATTACTATGGACGTTCTCTCAGTGTGATGGAGGGAAAAATACCTTCCTGGCCTTTGAGGAGGCTGGTGGGACCTGGAGGGCAGCTCAAGGAGAGAGGGCACTGTCTGCGATTGATCTGAGAAAGAGCCAGGGGTCCCGAGGCAACGTGGGGTGCACACGCGATCTGTCAAACACGACTGCCAGCTCCCCAGGAAGCAAGTGGAGGCAGGCAGGCAGTTGCCATCTGGGACTGGAAATGGCTTCTCGGTGCCGACTTTTCTGATTTTCACAGCTCAGACTCCAACTAGAAGGTACCTAAAAGAGCACTATTTGGTCCTCATTTTGCAAAGAAGCCTAAGCCCCAGAGAAGGCCAGGGCTTGCCCAAGGTCACCAAGTCCCACAGCTAACCTGCTGGTGCCTATCTGCTCCTTGTGCATCACATGAGGGGCCCATTCTGAGCTGACCTGTGCCCCCACAAGATCCAAGACTCTGAGTCTAATCACCCCCATCCCCTAGCCCCAAGAGCTTCCAGCTCCTCGGCCGAGGATATGTTTATTGATTTTGGAGAGAGGAGGGAAACATCAGTTGCCTCCTGTACAAGCCCCCTCCCTCCACTCTGAAACCTAAACCAACCTTTCGGTGTGCAGGAGGGTGCTCCAACCAATCGAGCCACCCGGGCCAGGGGCCAGGGCCCCTGACTGACTTTGAAGCTGCTCTTTGTCCCTGTGTGACAGGGAAGGCAGCCTCCTTCCTGCCGATTTAGAGCTGGAAACTCCAGGGCAAAGGGGAGAGCATTCTTATGTCTGGTCTTTAAAGCAAGAACCCAGCCTGAGGGTGGCGCCCTGGAGTCTCAGTACTGCCTTCCTGTGTGAGCAGGAGTAGCTACCGGGACAGCAGTGATACCAGCACCTAGGAAGTGAATTCCAGCCTAGCTTGTTGTTGCTGTTAATCCTCACTTGAGGGTATTTCCATTGATTTTTTAGAGGGAGTGGAAGGGAAGGGGAGAGACAGAGAACCGCATGGATTGGCTGCCTCCTGTAGGGCCCCACCACCACCACCAGGGCCTGGGATTGAGCCTGCAATCTAGATAGATGCCCTGGAAGGCAATCAAACGCAGGACGCTTCAGTCCGCGGGCTCTATCCACGGAGCCAAACCGGCTGGGGCCAACCTCGCTCTCCTTTAAGCTCCCAGGGTCTCTGCCCACTTGTAGCTGTGTGGCCTCAGGTAAATTACTGCTCCGCTGGGCTTCAGGGTTTTCATCTGTGAAGGAGAGGGAGGGGGGAGCATGCCCTGCTGATAGGAGCAACGAGGCCAAAGCAGGCAAAGAGGAAACTGGGTCAAAAAGGCTAAAGGGTGTTTCGAGGCCCTGGAGGCCGATGGGAGGGACAGGCCAGGTAGCTCTTCAGCGGGAGCCAACATTGCGGTGCGCTGCCCAGGGAATCCGGGTCCCCAGCTCCCAGCGAAAACATTTCCAAAATCGAATCAAGAGCCTGGTGAGGAGCTCGCAGCGCAGACCAGCCCGCCCTCTCTCCGGGCAGGTGGGCTGGTCCTGGGGTCCTCCCTGCGCTGCGCCCCCTTTCTCCAGCCACGAAGCAGCATGGCCTGCTCTCGCTGCCGCGGTCCCGGACCCCCGGACCCGTGACCTCACGCCCGTGCACGTCCACGCACGTGCAGCTTCACAGAGGTGCACCTCACTGTTGCCGACTCCCGACATCTGGGACCCACGGGCCTCAACCCCAGAGCATCGAATGGTCTGGAGCTCCCAGGGGTAGGGGATCCCCACACTCCGAGGCTTCAGATCCCCAAAGTGCCGCGGGGACATGTCCTCGGTGGCCAGCTCAGGTGCAGAGCGACACCCCTCGAGGGCCAGGTCTGTCCTGTCCTGGGACGGGCGGGGCCTCGCCTTCACCTCCGCCTGGACGATCGGGTCCTGGCCCACTCAGGCCGTGGCTGCCCACGCACTAACCCGGGAAGAGGTCGCGCCTCCCGCTCTCCCCGCCCCCCCCCCCCATCCCAGCCACTTGGCCCAACCCTGCACCGGGTAATTGGGTCGGGAGGGAGGCGACGGGCGGGCGGCGACTCCAGGGAGACTACGCGCCTGTCAGCTGCAATTTGTCTAAGTGGACGGGACAGGCCGGGCCGCTGCGGGCTGGGGTCAAGGAGGCCTCGGCCCCCACCCCAGCCAGACCCAGGACCGCGGGGGAGTCAGGCCGGGCGCTAAACGGGGCTGGCTGGCGCCAAGGCTCGGGGAGGCGCGGGTCCGGCCTCGAAACCGGGGATGGGAAGCAACTCTGTGTGTCCGCCCACAGCCAAACACTCACAACCCGCTGAGACCCAGACAGCACTCCACTGTGCTGACACGCAGGGGCCACCCCCACCACCCAAGCCCGGCCTGGGCACAATCCTACACGACTGCGCACTCATACCACCTCACACCAGCCCCGACGCCGGTCCCCGCTCCTCCCCACCAGACACCCCCAAGCCATCCAGGCAGGGCTCGCAGATCCACGCCCAGTCGCACAGATTAAGACACAGGCGGCGACTGGGTCTTTGGGGCAGGTCCTAGCAGTGGCCCTTGACCTCACAGAAGGCGAAGGGGCCCAGGACTG